CTCTCTCTCTCTCTCTCTCTCTCTCTCTCTCTCTCTCTCTCTCTCTCTCTCTCTCTCTCTCTCTCTCTGTGTGTGTGTGTGTGTGTGTGTGACACTGTGTGTCTCTTAAGCCCCCAGTAACACACAGTCACACACAGTCACACACACACTCATACCAACCAGCACCCAGACAGGCACAGTCACACGCACGCAAGCCAACCAGCACTTCGACAGACATGCGGTCCAGCAAGCACACACACACACAGACTTAGCATGTGGGAACTCAGTAGTCATTCAGTCTTTGAGCGGTGTGTTTTGAACCAACGACCTGTGTTTTAGTAGTGATTGTGCTTTGTCATAGGTCCCTGTTGTTTGTTTTTACTTGTTGAAGGTTGTTGATTTCTTTTTCTTGTTGTTTTGTTGTGTATTTCTGCGTTGTGTGTCAATTTTTGTTTTTGCTTTGGTGTCCAGGTTTTTTCTGCAGTTTCTGATTCTACATTTTCAGCAGTTCCTTTGCATTCTACTGTCGCTCTCTCTCCGATTTTGTTTCCTGCACCTGTTTCCTCTCCGGTTTACGACGCGGTCTTTTTGTAGTGCCGACGTTTCAGCATGCCACACCAGAATGGTAAGGATCCGGCGGACTCGTCCAATAATGCCAGACAAGGTCACAACACGAAGAGTTTCGACTCGCCGTTCAAGGTTGATCCGACAACCGACGGCAAGAGAGACGACCCCCTCAGGCATTTCATCGCACGAGGTCGTTTTTTGGATGGGTCCACTGCGGCGGGTAGAAAGAGTGGTCGTCGCTGCATGTGCAGGTTGTGCGGCCGTTCGATGTGTGGGGGCGCTAAGGCCGCCAAGGAACACTTCTCAAAGAGCGAGAAGTTCCGATGTGAGGTGGCCACTCCTGCAGTGTGGTATGTCATCTGGTCAAACGACATGACAAAATGTCCGAAGGAGTTCGTATCGGCTATCGAGGCATTGCAGAGCTTATCTCACGGTCATCTGAACTTCCAGTGGCCACCGCTACGATACCCCGAGGACTTAGTGCCGCCCCTCGATTCCGCCACTGCCCCCTCGGAGACGGTGCCTTCGTCCAGTCCAGCCGTTCGAGTCACAGTGCCGCGTCGAACGCCACCACGTCCACCAGCTATAGCGTCTGCACCACTGACAGGGACACAGGGTGCAGGTGGTTTACACATCGGTCAGTCCGTGCCGGCCAATGAGGCCCCTCCTGTTCGAGGGGGTGGGGTCTGTGCGGCGTTTGACGAACACGGCACACGTGCTTTTGTCGAGAGCCGCACGTGGGGGGGTGGTGTTGGCACTTCGGCTGGACGGGCTACCACTATTGCGGCCCGCGCACACTTGCCCCTATGTTTAACAGCGGCAGACAACCACATGTTGCACGGGCTACCAGTATTGCGGCCCCGGCCACAGCTGATCGCGGTCCATCGGACCACCCTTGGTTGCTGCCTCCACCATCACGAGTGGCATAGGTTGTGGCCGCCGACCACATTGCTACGACGGGCAGACCGGAGCTTTCGCGAGTGGCTGTAGATGCTCGACAGCCTGCTTCCCTAGTTGGGGAACAGGCAATGCCCGGGCTGGGTGCTTCTGAGGTCCCCATTCCGATGTCTGATTTGTCGCCAACCCCGCTTCCACCGACGACAGGTGCTGCTGCAGCTGCTCCACCTGTACTTACCGGTTCATTGGATCCTTTGTACCGCATGCGCGACATTACAGCGGCCCAGAGCGCGGCACCTGAGAGTCCTGGTGGGTTGTTGGATGTCGGGATCCTTGGCGGGCGAGCCACGACGGGACGTGGCCGGGGCACCTTTTGCCAACAGGCTGTCACGTCGTATTATTCGAACCCTTTGGAACACGCGTGGCATTTGTAGATCATGCGCTTCATCGTCGAGAGTGGGATGGCGTTCAACTGCATTAAGCTTGAAAGCTTCAAACACATGTTCACCATGATCATCCCCTCGGGGATTCCAGGGGCGCCCACGCCCAAAGTACCCACGTACCACATGGTGCACACATCCCTTTTGGATGAGCTGGATGCAGAGGTCCAAAAGTGTGTTCGGCCACCTCTAGACACGGCGAGAGAGTTTGGTTGCACAATCATGACCGACGGTTGGACCAACATTAGGGGTCAAACATTGTGCAACTACCTTGTCGGGACAAATTTGGGGGCAGCTTATGTGGCCACCGACGTCATGCACGGGAAGAAGGACGCCACTGCCCTTGCGACCGTGTGGCTGAAGAGGGTGAAGTCCACGGACGTGGACTTGAGCGACATCACAGCGTTCGTGACGGACTCCGCCGGGGTGAACGTCGCAGCGATGGAGGTTTTCCAGAAGGACGAGAGCGTCAAACACATCTTCTGGATTTCATGCGTCGCTCATGTGATGGACCTCATTCTCGAGGACATCGGTGGGATTGATCGGGTAGCCACCTGCATCGCGCAGGCGAGGTTGGTGACGAGGTTCTTCAAGCGCCATGGCCACGCACGGAAGGTTTTGGAGTTCTTCTCGACGATGACCCTTCTACTGCCGGCGGAGACTCGATTCGGCACTAACGTCATCATGATGACGAGGCTTGTGGACCTGCGGGGAAAGCTCATGCAGCTTGTCGGCGACGACCGGTGGCGTGAGACTGTCTGGTCTACAAGCAAGATCCGCAAGGACGCCGCAGAGGTCACTGCGTGTATTGGGTCTCCTCCATGGTGGGAGGATTTGAGAGCTTTGTGCAAGATGCTGGAGCCTATCATGGATATGTTGAAGCTAGTCGATAGCGACACACGCCAGATAAGCAAGATTTTGCGTCGTTACGAGGTTATGATCGCATCTTGCTTGTCTGCGTGCCGCGACCTCGATCGGGAGCAGCAGGACGCTATTTTGGAGGTGTTCGACAGGCGGCGCACCATGTTCCAAACACCCGCCCACACAGCGGCCAGGTTGCTGGATCTCGAGTTCCGAGACCCGACGCTGAACGACGACCAAGAGGTGCAGCAGGGATTGATCGAAGCCCTGGTCCAGTTCAGCTATGCAGAGGGATCGGTGCAGCACGAGGAGGTCCTTAAGGCGGTATACAAGTTCCATACAAAGGAGCCTCCTTTCGATGATGTCAACATGCGGCGATCGTTGGCATACTACAGCCACCCTGCCAGTTTTTGGTTCATGAAGAGTGCGAAATACCCTCACACGGCCATCTTTGCCGGTAGGATCCTTCGCATCTGGGCGACTACATCACCATGCGAGAGAGCATGGTCTCGATGGAGCTTCATTCATTCGAAGTCATGCAACAGGTTGGAGGTTGCTCGGGCCGAGAAGCTCGTGCGGTGCCACTGGAACCTCAGACTCATTGATAGACCGTCGTTGTGTGACGATGCTCCTGCTGACAGACCCGATATTTTCGGGAACTGGGTGCATTACTGGCAGGCTGTGGAGGAGGAGGTGGCAGTGGACGAGCAGCTCGTCAGAGGTAGTGGTGCACTGGCGACGGTGACCGAGGAGGAGTTGGCTCATGCCAGAGAGAGGATGCGCATCGTTTCCCGCATGGGAGCCATGCGTCGGGTGGCGGAGTCCGACAGGAGGCGACGCAAGGGCGGAGCAGGTGGACGTGGCGGGCGCGGGCGAGCAGGTGTCGGAGGAACGAGGTGTGGTGGCAGGACTGCTGCATCCGGGACTCGTCAACAGCGGGCGGACGGTTTCATCCGCAAGGCCCGCCAGAGTTGGGACGAGGGAGACTTCTTGTTCGACAGCTCATCCAGCGACGACGAGGATTTCTTTGCATTGGGCACGCCCGCGCCTACGGACGATAAGAGAGGCGACGACGACGACAGAGGTAATGGCGGAGGTGGTGGCGGAGGAGGTGGCGGAGGAGGTGGCGGAGGAGGTGGTGGCGGCGGAGGAGGTGGCGGAGGAGGTGGCGGAGGCGATGATAGAGGTGGCGGAGGCGACGACAAAGGTGGGGGAGGAGGTGGCGGAGGAGGTGGCGGAGGAGGTGGCGGAGGAGGTGGCGGAGGAGGTGGCGGAGGCGATGACAAAGGTGGCGGAGGCGACGATAGAGGTGCCGGAGGAGGTGGCGGAGGCGATGACAGAGGTGGCGGAGGCGACGACAGAGGTGCTGGAGGAGGTGGCGGAGGAAGTGGTGGAAGTGATGACAGAGGTGGCGGAGGCGAGGACAGAGGTGCTGGAGGAGGTGGTGGAGGAGATGGCGGAGGTGGTGGCGGAGGAGGTGGCGGAGGAGGTGGCGGAGGAGGTGGCGGAGGAGGTGGCGGAGGCGACGACGGAGGTGCCGGAGGAGGTGCCGGAGGAGGTGGCGGCGACGAGGGAGGTGACGACAGCGGTCACAGAGGAGGTGGCGGCGACGCAGGAGGTGACGACAGAGTTGAGGGGTGTGAGGGTGACTTTCCTGTGCGTGGTCGTGGGTTCTTCTTGAAGCGGTTAAGACACGGTCCCAGGCAGGATAACAGCATCGGCTCTCGTGTGCGCAGGCGGCGTCTTGAGACTCTTCACGATGCGACCACCACGGACGCACGTGTTGCGCAGCACGAGCAGGTTCTCGTGTTTGAGGAGTCTGAGGACTCCTTGGGCGACACATCGGACAAGGACTTCATTCCTCAGGTAGCACACCAAGGGCCCGACCAAGTCTGACGTGAGGGGCGCTGACTCCGTTGAGCATCAACCCGGTTTCGTCGAGGGCCCGACCAAGTCTGCAGCGGCGATTTCAGCGCAGGAGGAGACTGAAGCAGGGTTGACTTGTCCCGAGCTTGCGGCGCCCATTGCAGATACTGCGGTCGCTCAGGAGTCCCATTGCCATCTGACACAACCCATGGTCGCGGTTCATGCGGAAGCTCGAGGAGGGGCAGCCAGTGATGGGCAGACAATTCCCAACTGTGCAGGGAATGTGCCACCTCCTTCCACCGTCGTCTGCAGGGGCGCTCACGGGGCACCCAGCGTCGCGGTCCCCTCCATAGGCGAGGTAGCACATCCTCCCACGACTGACGTTGGATTGGAGGACGAAGAGGTAGCACATCCTCCCACGGTTGATACTGGTTTGGAGGACGGAGAGGTTGCACGTACTCTCAGTTGTGCCCATGAGGGAGAGGTTGCACGTCCTGCCACGGTCAACCACGTTGGCCTCGCTTGCCCCGCTGACAGTCTTCCGCCCAGTGCGGAGTTGCTCGCCATGGACTCGGCGTTGTTTGATCTTCCTGATGTATCGACTTTGATTTCTCCCACTTTGGCATTTGTGTCGAGCGGATGACGCGGATGGAGTGCGTAGAGGATTCGACGAGTTCGCCGGCGACACGGTATTGCATCCCGCAGTCTCCGCCACTCCCGCCGTTTTTCACGTTGGGGCACCGCACGCGGTGGACCAGGGTTTGGCGCAGCAGGTGGCACGGAACCGCCGTGGCGGCCCTCGCGTCGCGGCGCAACGCAGTTTGGGAGATTCATTTGAGAGATTGGATGCAGAGTATGCGGCGCAGGAGGGTCATTGTGCACAGGATTCCGCACGCGATGGGTCATCATTCCCAGCAGTCCTTAAGGAAGACCCGCACCCAGGCCCGCCACGTTTGGTGCAGGAGACGGCTCCCGACGTTGTCGCTGCGGACGTGGACGAGGAAATGCGCAGGGATGGTACCGTGCGCGTCGCAGCGCAACGCAGTCTGGCACGGACATTGACCACAGATGGTAGTGTGCCTGCTCGCAGCACTGGGTCGCACTACGAGCATAGAGGGTCATCGGCCGCACAGCCTGTTGCTGAGGGGGCCATCGCACGTAGTGTCGAAGGCGAGCATAGGGGTCACGCGCCTCCGCACCCCCATGGCGCAGACCCTGTCGTCCACGGTGTGGCGGCGAGCACCGCATTGCCGACGGTGTCGTTCTACGACGCCGTGACCAGGGACCGGAGGGCGGGCGATGAGGGACATGCATCAGCATGCGGACTGACAGATGTGCGTGCGGGGATGCGATCCATAGGCCGCGTCGATGGTGGTTGTCACGGCTCCATGAGAGCATACGAGGAGCGACATGGGAGGCCTTTGCGGGCCAAGACACCGGATGTCCACGACACGAGGACGGCGACCGCGAGGTTATCCCGAGCGAGGAAGAAGGGGACAGGTGCATCGATTCCATATCATCATCGTCGTCCACCACCGACTTTTCACGCCAGAGCTCCGACCACACAGATTCCGGCGACTGGCGGGGCAGTGGCGGATGGGGGGACAGTCCAATGCCGTTCAGGGCGAGTCGAGAAGAGACGAGGTGATGTGGTGATCTACCATGATGACAGCTCCACAGCCGCGGAGGCTGGCGAGACCACAGGCGCCGACGATCCAGGTGACTCCGATTACATGCCCCGGCGCCTGGCGGCGGATGGAGATGATGGTGGAGGTCGACGCGTCAGGCAGAGGACAGGACTCGGCCCGCACGGGCAGGGGACGCCATCGGACCCTATACAGGCTACACCGCCTATTGATCGATAGGCGCAGGCTCAGTCTGTGATAACCAAACTGTATCATTACCGGTCTGAGCCCTCGTAGCAGGATGCAGGTCTGTGACCGCCTATTGATCGACAGGCACAAGCTCAATCTGTGATTTTTGCATACAGGCCTTCGCAGCGGGGTGCAGATGGCGACACGGGTTCAGTATTTAGGTGGCGTTGGGTTTTACCAGGTGGCGTTGGGTTTTACCAGTCAGTCAGTCCGGTCTACGTGTACGCTAGAGTAGCTGTAGCGTGTAGTGACTGTAGACTGCAGTCTATTAATAGGTTAGGCCCTTCGGTATCTCCGTATGCCCGGGCTATATCGAGGCTCTACACTGTGTGTTCGTGGGTGGTGGCAGCCATAGCTTCCTGGCACTTCGTCTGAGTTCTAGGAGTGGCGAGATACTGGAACAAACTCTGTGACGATATTTTAGTTGAGTGTCTCATCATCTGTGTGATTTCAATTGCCATCCTCGCAGGTTCTTCTTGTGATTGGTTGTTAACTTGTTGGGACTCGGGAGTTTGTCAGAGAGCGAGAAACACTGCGTGTCTTCTGAGCTCTTCTCCCCATCCGTGCATGGTTGAATTCCGCTGTGTACTGTGATCTGTGTGCAGTTTGGACTTTGTCTCCTCTTCCCCTTCTCTCGTGCATGTATGGGCGTGTATCAGACGGTCTGTGTGAGTGGCGGTAAAAATCGGCAGACAACCAAGTTCATAACACAGAATAAGTTTTTTTTTTTTTTTTTTTTTAAC